CAGGCTCTGAAGACGGCGTTGTCGCCGAAACGTTAGCCAATTAATAAACTGTTACCATATCAGTCTTGGCTACAGTTTAACAACAAATCGACAGAGATCCTAGGACGATTAGTGAAGAAACAAAATTGTTGACAGTTTTTAGCCTCCTCAAAGAAGCCAGATAAGAACTGCTTCGCAATTTTCAAGAGTTTTCCAAAAAGATTTTTTTTTGCGAAGCTCTAGCCCAATTACACCGCTTTTGCCATATTCTAGCTTGCGAATTTTACTTATTTACTACGTTCCAGAAAAATTCTTGCAGTAGCAATTTTTTGGACTATAAATCTTCATACTAGATGCGATGTGTTGTAAAAATTTTCCGTATCCTCCTATTCTCGTAAGCAACATTTTCGAAAAGATTTGCGATTGATTACAATAAAGTCTTAGAAAACAAATGTACGGAACAATCTTGAAACATGCAGTCATTAACGCTTTTTCCTCTAGTTGCCCAGTAGTTCAGCTAGATTTGGCGAGCGTTTACAATGAAACTTTAAACTCCTCTGCCATCAAATCACCAGCAGGTAACTTTCTACATACACTTATGATAAAAAATCTTGTGAGTTTTCCACGTGTTTTCTCCCAGAATGTCTGGTCGAATGAGACTAGCATAAATCCAAAACGCTATTATCGCCAAGGTGACTTCAAGTTTCAAGGCAACGCATCCTAGCGACAGTCTCCAATGCAGGATTTTTCTTTTATTCCACGTTATTGCAGGCCGAGGAGCTGAACGTTAGGTAAGCTTCTTCCATCATACTTTTCCGTTTCCTCTTATCTGATATGTACATAAGCCTAGGACGATGACGTCGGTGAATTACAAGGATACCGGTGGCTATGAGAATCCACCCAATATAGTGGATGCTTCTGGAAATGACTCCCATACGCTTTCCACCGAGGTGCGTAAACGTCCACATTGCTTACACCGTACAATAAAAATCGTTTCAGGAATTCGACGACAAGATCAAGGCTCCGACAAGATCAGGCTTGCCCA